CACCCAAATGCCTTAATCCAGCACTGATCGCGAGGCTAAGGGCTCTCCTCGCTGGTTCTTGCCCGCAGTGGAAACAACCGCAAACAATGGCCTTGTTCGTGAGTCTGCCGTTTTTCTCATTTAAGTTCGTCGGCTATACGCACACGTGTACGCACTGGACAAGAAAAAAAAAATGCGTCGGAGGTGTGGCTTTCTCGCAGCTGCGATTCTCGAAACAATGCTGGCGCCGCGATCAACGTGAAATGGCTGTGCCGTGTTTTCAAGAGTATTGACACAAACGAGAAATCCCCGACGTTCCTCACGCATTCCATGGAGCGCGCATCATGTCACGCTTGGCGTAGACGCGGAGGGTTCGTTGTTCGTTCTGCCAGCACGTGGAATAGTTTGTTTTTCGCTGCTTTCAGCGATACTATTTTTTTTTTTTTGCCTCGTCTGACCACGGGTGCCTCCGCGCTCTCTGGAATCGCCTGCGCCATTAAGCGGGTTTCACATGCAGCGATTTTGGCCCTAGAGCGGCGCGATTGCTGCCGTCGCGGCGCTCTGGCCGCGACGGCCAGAGCGCCGCGCGGCCAGTCGTGACACAAGACACGTGTCACGACAGGGTGCTGACCCGCCGTCATTCACTTGCAAGGGCCGCTCATTTGAGTTCTGCGCCGCCATTTGCTTCCAAGGGCCGCTCGAGAGTCGAGACACAGGTCTCGTGCACTGGCGCACTTGGCGCTACTTGCAGACAAACGGCAACACACCGAGGGGCTTTATGTCCCTGGCCACCTCGGCATTCACTGCCGAGACTGTGGTTGGCGCGGAGTGGCGACCCGCTAATACGAGAGATTTTTGAGGCTGTAAAGGTCGGTTGATTAGGTGTTTCTACCTGTCAAATTTCTCAATTATCGTGAAGACAGCGTGCATATGCTTTCTTCTGGTCTACGGTTCGTTGTCATTTGAAAAAAGAAGACGGTCTACAGTGTTTTGCTATGTGAACGTGAACGTGCAGACGGCCATCGTGAAGACGCACTGAACTTTGGGTGATCCGGACCGCTTGGCGGTTCTCCCGTGCACATGTTGTAAAAATAAAAATAAATATTACCACAACAAGTGTGCGTGAGTTAATAATAAAAATAATAATCTTTATTTCCAGACATCCATGTGTCTGAGGGGCTGTGGCAAAAAAATACAAAAGAAAATTCGGCACAGTCACTTAAGACTGCTTACGCGTGGGAATGCGAAAGCATTCCCTTTGATGAAATGTTTTCGATTTCTTTTTTCGACATGCGTTACAGTTATTTCTGCTGATTCGGTGTGTGACGCGCGGGAGGCAGCGCGCTTTTTTTATACATTCCTGATGTGGCGCCACCTTCTCCCCATTGGCTGCGCCGTCTCGTGCCCAATGACGCACGCAATAGGCACACTTTAGTCAGCCAGGACCGTGAAGCGACCGTGGCGTCGACAATAAAAAAATTAAAAAAATAAAATAAAAGCCGCCGTGGCGTCAGGGGACCGTGCCCGTCTCGCACCCCGGGAGGCCCAAGTTCGATTCCCATCCAGACCGAAATGTGACAGAGTTTCTTTCTAAAGCCATTCATTTACTTAGTTTAGAGGAACCTTCGTGAAAAATGTGACGTCGATCCGAGCATTTCTAACGAACGTACGCTAGAGGTTCAACTGGAACTAGTGTGCTGTTGCAAATCGAAACAGACGGCAATCAGTCAGAAATTGACTTCCGGTAATTTATGTTTATGAAAAAAAGCGAGTGCATTTTCTCACTGCGCTTGATTATAAGAGCAAATATCATGAATGATACCTACGTACAAGATAGATTGGAACATTTTGAGTCGCACAGACGAAATATTTGGTCCGTTACGACGTTTTTATTTCGAATTCATGGGATTAAAACAGGTGCTAAGACGGCTTCGTACATCTATTCATGTACACTGTCGGGCACTGCTTGCACGAACATGGCGTCGGCGTTTCCCAGCATGGGGGATATGGGGATATAGATGCCAAACGAACGAAGAACTGGAAGACCAAGGGAGACGTCAAGAACTACATGGTAACACTAGATCCGTAACTCCTTGTGCATGCAGATGATCAAACTAAATGGAAGGCCACGTAATTTAGTCCGATTTGCAACAAATAAGCGCTGCTTTATTCTCTCTGCTCATGAATATGTGCGAAGATGCCTGTTCGGCGTTCAAAACATCACCTGCACTCACGAAATCTTTGAAAATAAGGATGGCCGAAGAACAGGCGCCCGACAAAAGCTGCCCGGCCTAGGTGATAATAAAAAACTACACCTTCCATAGCCCACGTACTTTATTCTTTACGCTTTAAATGTCTTTAACCAATTGTAAAGACGCACGACGGGGCCATTTTTATGTAGTGGCAAGACGAGCATATCTGAAATATAGAAGCGCCACCGGGATGCTGAAGAACCTTGGACACACTCTACGTTCCTTTCGATTTGCTTAGAATCGTCGCTTATTTTTACGTACCGGGTATGGAACAGAGGTTTGGGCCTGAAACATCGCGGAGTTTAACGTTGTTCACTGGCGAATAAAAAGGCTGTAACTAAAGAAATTCAACTTTTGCAGTGTTAATGAAGATATATATACTATTCGGTACGACCCAAGTAACAAAGGTGATTCATGTCACTTTTCCGTGGAAGAGACAAAATGTATGCGCGTTTTCCCATAGGAATGCACAGGAGCACCGGAACAGTAGACTGGTTGCTGTCTGCTTCGTGTTGCCTCCCGGAAGTCCCATAGGCACTAGGGTCAGTTGAACTCTTAGCGTACATTATAATAGCTCTATGCCTTCAAGCAGTGGCCAAAGTGGCAACAGTTTCCCATGGTGCTTGAGGCCAAATCAGACGCGCGAACCCGTTGATCACTGTCATAGTTGCCGCACTTGCCAGTTCGACAGGCTGCGAGCTAACGAGCGGTGCTTTCAACACAAACAAAAAAACAAAAAAAAAAAACTTTTTTTTTTTTTAGGGGAGGGGGGGGGGGGGGGAGGAAGGGCGGATTATCGAATTATCGTTGGCGCTGAGTCCCTCCAGTGCTATCCGTGTACTGAGAACCAAACAAGCACTCGAGAAGAAAATCAAGGCATAATACAAAATACAGCACCAGTCGTCGTGAAAGCATCTGATAAGTGGTTCGAACATAACATCGCTCTCACGGTCTCACCTACTCCTTTTTGCCCTGTTTCTATACAATCTCTACTTCCCCAGTTGTTTTTCCTTTTGATATAAATGAAAACTTATACCTTTTTATTCCAGTATGTTGTGTAACTACTGAGAGAACAATGATGAGCCACCGCGCCGCGTCCAAAATGAAGCAATCATCCTGTTCCATTATGGCGCGCGCGATTTTAACTAAGCGGGCATCCACACATTCCGCGTGTCATGTGACATTTACATGCTGCGCAGTGGCGCCCCTGAACGTGGTTCTCGCTGCGAATAGAAGCATTAGAATGGCAATCTGGGCTAGTTGGTTCATGATAACTTTCAGGGCGCCGAAAATACACAAGGACAAGATACAAGAAAGGAGACGTGAACAAGGCGCACTCGCAACTAGCGTTTAAGGAAACAACCACTCTCTTTTATACTCATGGCAAACAACACAGTCATACTACACAGTTATACTACGTCCGGTGTAGCCCCCTTCTTAGAAAAGTGTGCTCTTTTGCCGATAGTGACACAGACGTGTCACTAATGCAGTCCTTGCCTTTTTCTTTTATTTCGAAGGCCTCGTGCAGCTCCCTCGATATCCGATCGGCGTATCTGGCCAAAAACCTTGTGTCACTAAGAATAGAAGCAGTACAGTCCAGAACATGGTGTAAATTTCGCACAAATAGTTCACTGTTCCTTTCTATTTGTGCGCAATTTTAACCATGTTCAATCATTACCAACTCGTCCAACTAACCACCTTATAGAGTCCAGAAGTTTTTGTGCAATCTTAAGTTGGTTTGCTTTGTAGTTTATTTTTTTCTTTGTGTGTTGCTGTGGGGTCTGTTCTATCATCAAAAAAACGGGAATTTTAGCCGTGTCTGTTTGTGTATACAAGGAGGGTGATAAAATAAAATCATTTGCCGAGTTAAAGACGTTGACTATCTCTGTTTATTTTCTCCACTGTCAAAACCTTTCTCTCCTTGTGTCCCAGCATCGGGACAGAAGGAGGCAGTTCGAAGAGCAGTTCTCGGCGCCCCGGGTTGTACTGGTCGGACTGCTGCAGTCTGGCAACGTCGAGGTTCTCCCGGGCTTTTGAAGTTGATAGTAAAACGATTTTGCAGGTCGTCT